CCCCCCCCACTACTTCGTCTATTGCGCAGATACCGAATACGAATTGTAGAAGGTGACAAAGGGATATCGCTTGATGCTGGAGTATTCGATTTGCTTACCACCAACGCTGCTTACTTGAAACAAGATCATTCCAAGCGGTCAAGAGATGAACTCACCGGTGTTATTAACGAACTGGGACCTGAAGAAGGATCCTTCGCTTTTCTACTCACGTATAAATACACCAAGCATGCGATCGAGGGATCTGGTAACCGAGTATTACAAGGCATAGATCTCGCCAGAATTGACGTTCTAGAGAAGGCGAATAACGCGGCTCCAGCTGATATAACAAGTGCTGCTTTTCATTGTAAAGTTAAAGCAGCTTGGTCGAGTATCATAACACTGTCAATGGCTGGGATGAATGGGCACGCGAAGAATGGATGACTTGGTTCACAACCGCCGGAGAAAGACTTGGGAAAAGCAGGTTGGATGATTGGAAACTCCACTTCTTAAATCCTGGACACAAAACGTTTTATGATCTATGGAGGCCTTGTGCGAGGAATGATGGGGGACACGTTTGCGGAGCACGCGCGCCCGAGTCTTGTTACGAAACACTCCAGTTTTGCCACCTCTGGCCTCGTTGCCTGGCTTTCGACCCTTGGTGTGAAAAATGATCTAGAGTATATCGACATGGAGGCTGCTGCGATGATACTGAGGACGCAAAAGCCTGTGAGTGTTGTTGCGCTCACCACATTTATGGGAGACGTGGATTCACCGTGGGCAACGCCATCAGCCAGATTCTGTGGAGTTTTATTCGAGTTGCTGGTGGAAAATGGCGACCCTGTTCCCGTAATCCTTTTTCTTCAATCGATTCTTCGCCCGCTTAGAGGAGTGTGTAGTGGTCTCCTCAGTGACAACAGTGTTGCCCGTGTTTGATTGGGATAGAATCGGTCAAGCATTACTCGACTCAATGAAAGGAGATAAAAATGCGCTGGAGCAGATGGTAGGAGTGCTGGATGTCCTGAATACTCGGAAAACCCACGCAGCGCTAACGAAATTTGCGTTTGAAGCGACGACGACAAGCGATACAACGCAACTATGTCGCTCTCAGTATTGGGGGTTACTCTGGAAATGCGCATTCGCAGTAATGGTAGTGCCCTCTTTGGTACAAGTTCAGTAAACTCATGCTGATGGACCGGGCACTCGAGAAATGCGCAATGCACTTAGGCAAACTTGATTTGCAGGGCGAACAGTTTACTATGGTGTCAGCCATCGCTGAAATTCGCGTCATGTGGCTGAACGAAACAATTGAGGCGCTGGATAAGCCATTTTCATTGATGATGCCTGACGCAGAATTCTCGAACAATCGGAAAGTTAAAGCGTTTTGAGAAGCGCTGAAGCTTCTATGACTGCGAATGTGCTGTTGCAATTTAAAGACATTCAACAAGCACCATGCTATGCCGCCAGCTGGATGCGTGAGAAACAAATGAACGCTTTGTTTGAGATGGAAGCTATAGAGGAAGCGTGTTCGTGAAAAGTTCGAAAACGCGGGATTGGTTCTAGAGTATACAGACGAAACTGGTGAAGTATCAGGCAGAGTTGCATCGATTGATGAACAATTAGGATGTTGCTGTAGACGGTAACGAAAAGAAACGAGCGCGTTTGGAGATGCGAAGCGAAGCTAGCCAGAAGGATGCATGGTCGATAAACGGACACCATGTTTGTGATGGAAATGTTTCGGTGTGCTGTAGGCACTACATAGTAGTGCGGTAGTTGTTACTGAATGATTTTTGTTCGTGGTTCCTTATTGAAGATCGTTAACTTTTTTTTTTTTACATTTTTACTATTAATGCAGCGCGCTTACCGAATTTCCTGGCAAAATTCCAATGACAGCCATCGCGATAATATAGCCGTGGTGAGCATTAGATGCAAGTAAATACCGCTTCACCGTTATCAAGATAAGTCTCCACTTGCAAGATTTACAACATGGACCCTCGACAAATAATTATTCTTATTGCTATGACGGACGACCTAGAATGTGAAACAGTGTAGTAGCAGTGAAACTGCTCAACAAACGCCCCCAGTCCGTCAAGTTCCAAGCTACAGTACTCGGCATTAATAATGGGATGTGCGTTAAGAATAGGAGAAGGGCGCAGACGAATTTAGAGGCCTGTTGCGTTGGGGCATATGTCAACACAGCATCCTGTTGCAGTGTTAATGCTGCCCCCTCCTCGTATTCACCCCACCGATACCACTCACGGACCACAAGTTGAGGAAGCCTCTGACACATGTAGCCTATTTCTTAAACCTTATTATGCCTGGAAGCGACTTCAAGTCAGTTACTACGGTGGCAAATACTCAATTGAACGTGTTTTCGCCCTCGAGGCATACGCACGAACTACATCGTTTTCCCGAGTCCTGGTGGCGTGTTTTGGAACCCCAATACCTATGATTACACTTGTTGCGCTACAAGAACTAATTCCTCTCCAAGACCCGTCAGAAGGTTGGAAGGCGAACTACGGATTCTGGATTCGAATTGTCATTTTGGCTTTCGTCGTTGGTCATACAGTCATGGGGCAAGCGAAAGTTATGATCGATGGCGTTGTGATCTCTACAGCGCGACAGATACTACTGTCAGCGTGTGCAGCAGTAATGTTTTTCTTTGGTGCAGTAGCAATAACTGCTCTAGTCATCTTCCCAGTACCCTTCTGTGTGTTGACAATGGCTCCAGTATTTTACACGTTTCTCATCATCGCTGTTCGACTCATCGTCGGCCGCCACGTTCTACACGAGATGATAGTACACTCGGATCAGTTGATCCGATTTATTTGCTTCGTGTGTGCCCAGGTCTCACTGGCTTGTATTTATCCCTCTTACGAATCTCTGTTTCGCATTGTGCAAGGCACTCAGTATCAAATGTTAGTGATTATCCTCCTACCGATGATTAAAGTTGCAGTGAAAAACATGCTACTGAGATGCACAGCGCATATGGAAGACATGGTTCCGGAGGCAGTCATCTTCACGGTGGACTTTTTCAACACTCTCTATGTTGCCACGTGCATGCAGAGTGCGTCGTCAGTGGTTGCTGTCATTGCCATCATGGTGACCGATCTACTACAGACATGTGTAATGCTTTATGGCTTACATCGACGCATTGCAATGATTCGGCCTAAACTCCAGGAGATTACCAACATTCCAAGCGACAGGAATTGTGTATTGACAATGGTTTCTGCCTTGTGCAAAGATGCCGACAAATTCTCGAGGCAAATTCGTCATGGTATCCGAATCCGCTCGTGTCTTCTGCATTGTTCAGCCGAGACGAATAAAATTCATCTGCAATTCCTCAGGAAGAATTTTGCAGAAAGCCATCGCGTTGTGGAATCAGACAATGCGACAGGCCTTGTACTGGATAGAGCAGGATCTCGTACCAATACGTGTAATCTCCGCCTGCTGTGTACGCGAAATCGAAGAGATAGCATCATGCCGATCTTGCCTTCTGCAAGGGGTCCAACGTCAGAAAACACAATAACTCACCAAGATTCACAAACCAAACGATCCACAATTCTTATCGAGACGTTAGAGGTGCTCTTCACAACCGAATGTATCGTCGTTGCTGCATACTTGGAGGCGTTTGTGCCGTTGTTTTACTGCAACTATATGTTTCTAATGGTGCACCTTCCGAGCGCCCAATATCACACGGAGATGGCTGGAGTTACCCACGACAACGTTGGCTCAACTGTGCGCCCGGTGTGGATATTTGGGCTTTTGCAGGTGGTATCGTTCGTGTTTCTCGTTGTGCTCATCAAGCGGAATCTGGGAATGCAGGCTTTGTACCAGCTTGGATTTGTATTGGAGACGCAGATGGCTTTAGTCCAGGGTAAACTGATTATGTGGATGGTAGTGACGTTTTGCTTTCGAGTGGTACATTTTGGTACGTATATGTGGGATTACTCCATGAGAGCGATCATCTGTCTAAACTGTTGTTTGTTCAGGAATGGATTTCACCTACAAGTTTGATTGGATTAAGTGATAACAACTACTATTTTAGCGGGGAACACACGTTCAACCGTAAGCGGCATGAAATATTCTGAAGGTGTACATGCACACATGGCTTCGCATATTACTTTTTATTTGTACGTATTCTTTACTTGAAGATGAAGCTTACACAGGTGAATCAGGTTAACTGTAAGCAAATGCAAACGGGTCCCTAGACGCGCTGAGTCACGCAGTTACGCACTGCAGGTTGGTCGTTTGATGCAAATGTCATTGCTGCTCTTCTTGCTACTAAGTGAGCGCTTGATGGTCAGGAAGCTTTTCTCAGTTTTTACCACATCGGCTCGATCCAGAAACCACTTGACAATGTCCACGTGGCCCAAGTACGACGCATACATCAAGGCCGATGCCTCCACTGCCTCCCCCTTGCTGGATGTATCATCAGTTCCCGCTGGACGAACGTGCATTGCAAGCGTCTCGTTAATGTTTCCACCTTCCTGTTCGATGTACTTCGCCAACGCCTCAAACTGCTCCAAATCTCCATCACTGAACTGCACAGCGCAATGATACGGATACGCTTCCATATCTTCATCAGTCATTTGGGAATCGATAGCGAGGGGAGTCGATGATAAAGGCACCTCCGTGTTCGAACTAACAGCTTCTATCGGCATCAGGTTCCGTTCGTTCGCAGTGGTTTTGGCACGCCGCATTGTAGCATGAACAGCATCCCTGAAGGCGTTGCTCTTTTTGGGTGGAAACAAAGGATTGTCGAGCTCTGGAGCTGCAGCCTGCAGTAGAGGTGGTGATGCATCGCTCTCTACATTCACTACCTCAGTGCGCTCCAGAGCTGCTGCCTCTCGCAATACAACGGCGAACTCTTCGGGATCAATTGCCGCATCAGTGAGGACAGCGTTAACGCTCCCTTGGAAGACGAAAGCGTTCGTTTTCTCCGTTAGAAAGTCAGTCATGTGCTCTTTGCTCAAATTCGAGAGGAGATGCTCCGGGTCGCACATATCAAACGCGGACTCGAACATCCCCTTTATAGCTGCACCACCGCACAGGATCAGAGCCGATGACAGGAGCGAAATGTAGCGCTGGCGTTCACGTTGTTTGATCTGACGCTTCTCTCGCTCGATAAGTGCATTCCGAAGTGTATCGAACTGATGATGGAGTAGATTCACATTGTATTCGGTGGTTGTGACTCGGCACTCAAGCTGCTGCAGCGATTGTTTGATCTGTCGCACCCACTCCGAGTTCTCCACGTTGACTTTTGTCGCTTTGATATCCCACTCGATCTGCTCCACTTCGGAAATGATTTTTTGGCGTCTGCACTCCTTCAAGCCCATTTTGAAAAACGCGGCGGCGCGGTCGTCGAACACGAGTTTTTCGGTGATCGCCTGGTTGAATGTCGCAGCCAAAACCTCGTGCATCTCGTTGGTAGTCAACACCCGGAAGCCCAAATTGAAGAGGATGCGGACGTCGTACACGCTCGTCATCTGTCCCACCAGTTGCATTAGATCCTCCACTGCCACTTCGTTAGCATTTAACAACAGTGCAGCGTGATCGGAAAACGCTCGTTTCTTCATGTGTTGCTGCAACATCCAACACATATCGCTGCAGTTTTCAGTTGCAAATGCTAGGTCGTACGCCGTCTTATTGTCGGAGCTCAAGGTGAGAGGGTTTACACCACACGCAACCAGCAGATACCGAACAATTTCGTTATTGCCCAGAGAAGCAGCGTAGTGCAGCGCCGTCCAACCATTGTCGAAGAGTGCAGTCTGAATCCACGCAGGCTTTGCAACGCTTTCGCAAAATATTTGCAGCATGTTCATCTCCTGAAAAAGTAGAATCTTCTCGAGCCACTTCTTCTTGAAGTCATTACCAGCCAAGGTAAGTGAATCGCGCCAGTCGTCGTCAGGAGCATTCTCGATTCCAGTCTCGACAGACTTGAGGATTTGAATCATTTCGTCGAACGTTTTCGTGTCCAGTGTACACACGTCAAGAATGGCGTTTACTGCATCCAAATTCTGCGCTTGAATTGCCGCATCGATACCCGATATGGTCGCGCGTGGGTCACCCGTTAGACCTTTACGGAGCCAAACCGTAATTGCGTCTTCATTCTTCGCTCGGATCGCGGATTCCAGGTTGGAGTACGCATCCAGTAGTTTGTAGAACGCTTCACGGTTCGGACCCCACTGAACGTAGTCCCGAGCGCTCTTGTTGTCGTTACTGCGTAGTATCGGATCAGCCCCATACTTCAACAACTCGGCCGTGACTTCCAGTAAGTCTCGCTTGACTGCAGTCTGTAGCGGGGTTCGGCCCATATCTCCGATCTTATTCGCGCATGCACCACGGCGTGTCAGAAGTAGCGCTGCATCTGTATTCTTGCAGTCTATCGCCTTGTGAAGAGCTGTCTGGTCACTAATTTCGGTCAATTCCATGTCGGCGCCATTGTCCAGCAAGAACTGGATGATGTTACAGTCGTTTCGAAAAGAAGCATCGATCAATGGAGTCCATTGGAAACTACGGCGTTCATTCACATCGTCGCCCAGTTCCAAACGGTGGCGAATACCGTCGAGGTCTCCACGCCTCACGAAATCTGTGATGGTGTCAGGAGAGAAGAAACCCATTAGGTAGTGCAGTGAGTTTCTTGGGGGAAATTGAAAACTGATTAAGGCTGAGAAATAAAGCAGCTAACCATTCTAAACCTGATAAAAAAAAGCAAAATCAGGGCGTGCGATTCCTTAAACACGCGTGAACCTGCTAGAGGCGAGTTAGAAGTCCGTTGTACCCATGGGGGTGCGAGTAGATAAGATAAACTGCACACATGAGCACGGAAGAAACGTCGGAATGGCCCCGTCACTGGATTGAGATAAAAAAAAAACGCTCTGCTGGACATCACGACGGAACATGCAACTGCCGTTTAGACATCTAGTTGCATTTGCCGTTTTTACAATAGTACCGCAGCTCGTAGTGGCAGAACCATCCAGATTCTCGTCGTTTCAATTCCATTGGCACAATCCCTATGACTCTCTGTCTGATCATGGCAAGCTTCGCGTGAATGAAAATCATTGAAACGGTTTTAGAAAAAAAAAAAAACCAGTGCAATACTGAGTTGATAGGTTGATTCCAGGTAGGGGTTGCAAAACACTGAGGGTATTTTTTATCTACCTGATATTACCATTGGGTTCAGGTTGAAACTGAAATACTAGTGTAAGTTTTTGCTACCAGTGTAATAAGTAGGAAGACAGAATCCAGCTTTTTATTTAAAAAAAAGAATGCTTTGTTGCAATAAACAATTGTGCACAGTATATCGATTCGATATTATCGAAGAACCGAATGAGTCCAATCAGAGCCCGCTATTTATCTCACTAAAAATACTTTAACGTGGGTATTCCTTTACTATCAGGTAAAATATCGACACTTTTCGGGGGTCGACAACGATTTGCAACTCTCATTATGATGCATATGTTTAAGCAGTGCTGCATGCACATAGATGGATATATTCTAAGAATAGTGGTGGTATCTAGGGCGATGAAACACTTGTAGTTTTCGAGTTAGGGCCAGTAAAAATAACGCTTTTCCGTACTTAATAGAGGTAATTTCGTTCTTATACGCGTGACAAGGCTTCCATTCTTGGCTATTGGCCAATAGAAATGGGCGAAATGCAACACTCTGACGACATTGTGCTCACCTCCGGAATCCCGCCTGGTTGCGCAGGATATGCTTGTTAAAAATCATCCAATTGATTGCAAAGCTAAGTCATGACTTCTGAAGTAGTATATTATGAAATTATTGTTCATTTGCTTTCGTACTCCGTATGTCGAACTCTGTGACTACGGAGACACAAATAGGAAATCCATTACAGACCAATTTAGAAATTTATTTCGTATATTTCCATCACACCCTCCACTTTGCAGCGCGTAAAAATGCAGGTTCCTCTTCGTGTCCACCCCACCGATACCTGTCACAGTCCTTCTGAAGCCCAAGTTGAAGAAGCCTATGGCACATGTAGTCTATTTCCCCAGCTTCTACGTACCTGGAAGCGACTTCAAGTCAGTTATTACGGTGGTAAATACTCGATTGAACGGGTCTTTGCTCTCGAGACATACGCGAGATCTACATCGTTTTCCCGAGTCTTAATGGTATGTCTTGGGACTCCAATACCTATGATCACACTTGTTGCATTACAAGAACTAATTCCTCTCCAAGACCCGTCAGAAGGGTGGCACGCGAACGACGGCTTTTGGATTCGAACAATAATTTTGGCTTTCGTTGTTGGACATACAATCGTTGGGCAAGCGAGATATATGATCGACGGTGTTGTGATCTCTGCCATACGATTGACATTGCTGTCGGCTTGTGCAGCGGCCATGTTTACAGTCTGCGCAGCGGCAATTACAGCTTATGTTATTTTCCCAGTTCCGTTCTTTGTGTTGACCATGGCCCCAATGTTTTACTTACTTCTCATCATCGCTGTTCGATTCATCGTCGGCAAACATATTGTACATGAGATGGTGGCACACTCCGACCAATTGATCCGATATGTTATCTTCGTGTGCGCCCAGGTTACATTGGCGTTTGTTTATCCCTCTTACGAATCTCTCTTTCGCGCTGCTGAAGGCACTCAGTACCAAATGTTAGTGATTCTACTCTTACCGATCATCAAAGTAGCAGTGAAAAATATGATGCTGAGGTGCACAGCACACATGGAAGATATGATCCCAGAGGCTGTGATCTTCACGGTGGACTTTTTCAACACTCTCTATGTTGCCACGTGCATGCAGAGTGCGTCTTCGGTAGTTGCTGTTACTGGCATCACGGTGACCGATCTACTACAGACATGCGTAATGCTTTATGGCTTACATCGACGTACTGCGTGGATTCGACCTAAACTTCAGGAGATTACCAACATTCCAAGTGACAGGAATTGTGTATTGACAATGGTTTCTGCCTTGTGTAAAGATGCCGACAAATTCTCGAGACAGATTCGTTACGGTATCCGAATTCGCTCGTGCCTCCCACATTTAATATCCGAAGAAAACAAGGCTCATCTCCAGTCCCTCAATGAAATTTCTGACCAAGCTCCCCGGGTCATCAAACCAGCGGCAGAACCTGTCGTGGACAGAATGGAACGTCGCACTTATACGTGCAATTTTCGCTTATTATGCACACGAATTCGAAAGGATCGTGTCCTGCCGGTTTTGCCTTCTGCAGGGAATCCAGGATCGGAGCGCACGAATGTCCCGAGCGCTCGAACGAAACGATCGACTGTTCTCAATGATACTCTAGAGACACTATTCACTACCGAGTGTATCGTCGTTGCTTCGTATTTGGAGGCGATTGTTCCGTTGTTCTATTGCAACTACATCCTGCTAATGGTACATCTCCCAAGCGCTCAGTATCATACGGAAATGGCTGGAGTTAACCTTGAAAATGTTGGTTCCACTGTTTTCCCTGTATTGATATTTGGGCTTTTGCAGCTGGTATCGTTTGGGCTTCTAGTTGTGGTTATCCAACGAAACTTTGGACCACGGGCGCTGTACCAGCTTGCATTCGTGTTGGAGACACAGATGGCATTGGTCCAAGGGAAACTGATGCTCTGGATGGTAGTAACGTTTTCCTTTCGGGTGGTGCATTTTGGTACGTACTTGAGGAACATAGCCTCCTGCCTTAAGATTCCAGGTAAACAAACGCTTATGTTTATTTGCTATATGTGCAGGAATGGATTTCACCTACAAGTTTGCATGGATCAAGTAAAAAAAACGTGTCAATAAAGCCCAAATCTCCCAGAGGTGGTCAAGGAGTAGTGTCAGCAGGACAGCGCACAGTTATAAGTCACTACAATGGGATCTAAAGAAGTGATTGCCGTGGATTTTTATCAACACCTGAGTTGTTAATAAACACACATGTTCGGTACACAAAAAATCATTTTTCTGTATGATATGTCTACTCTTTATTTTTCTACGAGGCCTAAAATAGGTAGGGCTGTCTGTCTTCATGAACACAGAGGTCTGTGACCTCATTCGTAGCTTGCTAGCTTCGTCACTTACGCATAAGTGCATTTAACGTCCATAAAATCCTGGCGAGATTATTTGATATAGTCATACTAAGGTGGCTTGGTTGGATATGGAAAATCCGCGACGTTGAAATGAGTTGTAGCCATTATCGGCTAGCACTCGATCGAGGAGACCGGTCAGTCCTACCACTTTCCATTTGGCATCTCTCCAGACATTTCACTTCGAACGATCGGAAGCTGCCAGCCCATCTCGCTCTCATGGGGTGGTTCTCACCGGATACAATCACAGATTTCGTGAGGCGTGGAGACCTCGACGGTATTCGCCACCGTTTGGAACTGGGCGACGATGTGAATGAACGCCGTAGTTTCCAATGGAC